GTAATCCTCTGCCCATTTGTCACTTCGTTACTAACAACCCGTTTGATATGTGCCTTCGGAACGGGCGGTGAAGTCGGGCCGATATTTGTGCGAACCTTGTCCTTCAGGGAAAATAATTATCTTAATTTTGGTCTCGGTTTTTCAAAGCCATTTCCGGGACACTTGCCTGAGACATGAACTGTCTTCTCTCGCTCGAACTCTGGAATCATAGTTTCGAATCCCACTCGACGCATGGATGTCTACGGCCCTGGGGTCGACTCAGACTCTAATAGAAATGAGTATCAGAAATCTTCCTGGGGTTAAAGGGCGGCCGGCGCGTAAGGCTGATTACCTTACCGCCATCTTTGAGCCGATTGTCTAGAAAGTGTGGGAGCCTCGACGTCTCACAACCCTATGGGCCTTCACGTCCTGTTATCTTTTTTTCTATAATAACAATTTCCAGGCATGTTTTACTTAATTCAATATTCTGACAGTGTTTTCAATGTAAACTGTAGTTTCTGTAGTTAGAAATGCACATGGCAGGGCTCGTTCTTTCAGTAATCTGAAATAACAAATAAATACAGACCAACAGGGCAAGCGTGTCTAAACCAGATGTCTCTTATGTGACCTAGAAAATGGTAAGGATACAATTTAAAAATCATAAATTCTACTTCTTTGCTAATAATCGTAGCACTACTTTTCTTTAATTCGTCTATCCGAACCACTACAAAGAGTACATCTTTAGCCATTCTTCCGAACTACACAATACCTACACGTACCAGTGGATGCATGTTCTCTTTCGCTTCAGATAGGCCAGTACTTTAATGCTCTGGGATCAGTCAGCGTTNACAAATCAGTAGAACTGCGAGTATAACGCTGAATGCGGAAGAAGTAACTGTGACCGATTTCTGACCTTATCAATATATGACTCTAACTTGTACGAAATATTATCAGAGAAATTTTAATGGGTTTAGTTCAAAAATTTTCTGTTTGGTTCACGATATGAAGTGATTTCTGGACTGTCGATTATTCGCCATAAATCAGTGGAACTGAGTCAGATTTAAATAACTTAATCACTCAGTTCGTTACGTGAGTTAGCGTTTACTGCAGCACGAACTTATGCGTACATAGCACAGCGATGGTCCTATGGTCTACGTGCTATTGAGGTTTCTTTCGAGCCAGTTTACTTTGGTGTTTCATCAGTTTTAAGTCATTTGACGCTCATATGAAAGGCTCCTTTGAAATAAGGGCAGGCTTGTACCTCGATATAAACATCTGCAATTTTTGCGTTCTCCTATAGGCCAAAATATAAGTTTTATTTTGAGGGCTATAGGGGATGTCGGATGTTTTCATTTACCTTTTGACTGTCTCTCTATGACCCCACAGTTCTTATGGAGCTGGGCCGCTTGTTCAGTTTCTTAATGCTATACACAGTCGGTAGGACTCCTTAGACGGGGGATCGGCCCGTCGCAAGGCCGCTACCTACACACAGAATAAATGCACAGAAACATCCGTGCCTCGAGCGGGATTCGAGTCCATGATCCCAGTGTTCGAGTGGGCGAAGACGGTTCATTCCTTAGACTGAGCGGCCACTGTGACCGTGCGTGACTTGTGACTACTTGCGGATAATCACACAGTGCTTAAATTCACTAAGTTATCTTAGTAGTGCTGTTGCTGATCAAAGGTACAAAACTAAGTGTAAAACACTTTATAATGTTGACTTATTGTTTGAAGCCATATTTTAGTTGGGACTTCAGTTATATATTATTGCAAAGTTATTTATTTTCGAAATGAGAAAAAAATCACAGAAGATCTTCTGTGATGTGACGCCTTCTAGTCTGGTAGAGTTTTACCAACGATTTGGTTGAACGTAATTTCTCAACTTCTGAGTTGAACAAATTCTAAGGAAGCAACGAGAAAGAATCAGTCATATCGTCGGCCCTGAAGATGGAGGCAGTCACTTCCCCCGAAACTTCAGTGAACTTCTACCGGACTATATAGCGTCCCATCCGTTCATAATCACCGCTGTGAGAAACAAGGTCATGATTGAATATTTATGCCATGAGGAAAGTGACCTCTGAAGGTTTGGGTCTGTTAACGTTTATCTCTGCGTTGAAAGTTTTCTCGCTATGTGGCGTTTACCTCGAACTCAGCTGCGGTACAGATCCGGGCACCGCCTTCCTGTAATCTGAAGTGAGGATAATCAGCATGACACTGTTCTCTGATTGCATTTTGGTAGGAGACAATGTGACAGAATAATAAATAACACAGTGGAAAAGGAAATGAAATATTTCGTGACTATTATTAGTTTTCAGGGTACATTTTGTAATGTATGGTTATTCCTTATACATGAACAATATTACAATTTTAAAGGACTAGCATATTTTTATATTCATATTGCTAGGTCTATACAGAATTCACTGTTAATTAATTATTAATAAAGTTTAGTGATTGCACATGTTCAAGTTTTCAGAAGTTTGGTAGAATGTTTAACAGGAGGAGGTGGAGGAAACGGATGTATTGTGCACGGGTGACCACATTGGATCCAGACAGTAACATCTCTCACAGTTATAAACATTTCTTGTTAATTGTAAAGTAGCTTTCTTTGCAATGATTAATTACCAGATTTTAATTTAATATCGAATACATTGAAATAAAAATTCGAGGGATAAATTGTGAGAGACAACAAGCAGGCACTGGATAAATGATTTCGAGGTCGGTACAGGCAAATAATTACCTAACCTGCGAAGAGAAGGATAATACATATAATTTTATTTTAGTGCAGCTATTGCAATTAATAAGATACTGTGTCATTTTCCAGGTAAACTTCGGAAATTTGCACTTTAAATGTTAATATTTAATTAGATCTTAACTTTCTGGACATTTCTAGATTTACGTTTTAGATTATTACGAATTGAGGCTCGAAATTGTGAAGATGGTATAAATTATTTGCAGTACTAAAACAAACATGTCAGATGTTATTTATTTTTTTGTTTTTAGGTTTGCATATGATTCGTCAGAGTCTGTTAATTTTCTAACATGACTGTAGGCCATGTCACACCCTCATGTTGTCCAGAGTGATTACAATTTAGAGGGTAACTGAAACTCATCTCTCAGATCAGTATCCGTAGACTGACCATCAATGTATATGAAGCAACATATCGTCACCCCTCCTCGAAGTTTACCCCCTTATCGTGGAGAGGTGGTTTGCGCGCCTCAGTGACCCGCAGAGCTATGCAGATGGGAGCGTAAGCTCCTGATAGGGTCATCCATGCCAGAAAGGTCGAAGGGTAGGGAGCAGGCGAAGAATAGTCCCAGGTCCTCCACGTTGGGGTTTGTGTATGGAGCTTAACAGACAACTCAGGAAACATTTCCTTTTTTGAAACCATGGAGGAGGCTAGGACCCACACAGGGTTGTATTGACAGTAAAGGAGAAGATAGGTCATTATTATTCGAAATGTTTTTTTTTTCTCTGATTTTAAACATAAACTTAGCCATGACTGTTAACATAGAGCGAACAGTAATCATACGAGTATGTTACTCCAGACAGGAAATTATAAACTATACGAGATCGGGTCTGCATTCAGCTCGTCCATGGAACTGAAGTGTTTGTCAGAGAATAACGAAGAACTGATAGGCTGAAGATTAGAAAGACGGAAACTGTAAGCAGTAACTTGTGTGTTTATGAAATGAAATTGCATAACTCACGAGACTAGTGTATTATTGTACCGTCATTTACAAATAAATGAGTTGAAAAAGGGGCCATCATCCAAAGCGACGGTTCAAATTCACACTCAGAAAATATCGACACCCCAAAAGGGGCGTCAAGAGAACATGTGAATCTGCTTCCTTCTCCGGCTCACTTTCGCTTCATACATATACAGATAATTTTATGTAATGTATTAAATTTGTTATTGTCCATAGCGTCGCATTAATACTCGTTAGGGCACCATGATTGTATTCGGCGAGGTAAGCTATCTATTTTATCATTACGGCTATTGTTCTCATTAGGATACACGAAGAACTCGAATGATTCACTTTGGGTTAGCTAGATCGATTTGTATTGAAGGTAGAGACATTGTTCTCTGTCACAACTTCCAAATACGAGTAACTTCTAGGAATCAACCAGCAGTGAAAAGTAAATCTGATCACAGTCCCCCATATATTACTGACGGTACTGTATCTGCTCATATTCTGTGTTCCTTTCGTGGCGTCCTGAGTGGGCATACGGGCAATTTGAGTTTACACTTTGTCAGTTTCTTGTAGTTTGCACATAATTTATACCGTGACACGACGGAATAGTTTAAAATGAGTCATCCATTTCTAGACAATAGCACAGTGAACACGCTCCTACGTCATTAAACAAGCAGGCAACGAATAACACGCAACAATAGAAGAGATTCTTTTAAATGGTGTTTCCTATGCGGTCCGTACCGATATACTATAACGAGGCCACCAGCCGAAATGACCAGTTGAGTGTGGAAGGCTCCCAGGGCTGTTAGAGAGTAACATATGGTTATAAGTCCCATGGGACCCGAAACCAAGAACATTGTGCTGCCGAGGACCAGCAGCAATTTAAGAGCCAACCAGCCAGCCAGCCAGCCAGCCAGCCAGCCAGCCAGCCAGCCAGCCAGCCAGCCAGTCAGCCAGTGGCTAGTTGGGGATCAATTGTGAGTTAGTAGAGAGCCGGCAAAGGCGTAAGCACGGCGGCAGAAGAGAATACATAACAGACTGACACTTGGCGTGTGGAGTTAGAGTAATTATTAGAAAGTAAAGATCCGTGAAGCGATTATAGTTACCTGTAGCAAGAGTTATAAGTGTTTAACAAACCCAGTTATCAATCCAAACCACGAATCTACTCATTAACAAGTGACAACACATTTTAAAGAAGTTTAATAATTCTGCCCGGCATTGTGTAATGGGAATCTGGGGCCCTTTTCCAAGGGGTAAAGCTGCCGGGGTGTAAAACTGACCACTCACCTCCAACTGGTGTCAAGGCCAAGAAAATGTGGCTCTATACATCCACTCCACATAAGCCTTCGTGGCGTAGTGCTTAATTTGTTAAACGCTGGGACAAATTTCCTTTTCTTTTTTACCTTCACCCGACATTGAGTTTTAAGAAAGTACTTTCCAGCTTGTTGTATCCCAGTCGGAAATACTGCTGCTTGTAATATTCCCGTGCTACATCTCCCCTGCACAAACCTCTGCCTACCCCGAGGATTAGACAGACGTTCTTGAGAATTCGATAGGACTTAACCAAGCAACTGAGAAATTCTCCAGCTTCTATGGAAATCAAAGTTTCATACTGTGTACAAAACGGCATAGAAAGCAATGTGGTTGTCAGTATCCATAGGATCAATAGACTAGCTCACCCATTAATCTTGCGAGTCTATTCCAAAGAATCTACATTTTTGTGTTATTTGCTGTGCTTCCCAATTTGCAGAAACCTATTTATGCTACAGAAATACGAACTAGAAGTGGATGGTTCAACAGTTTCACGAGCATCAACGACACGCAGTGGCTGGGAAAGGGACGAATTCTTTTTACATAGCATGTCACTAAATACGTGTAAATTCCGAGAAGCGATTCTGAACCAACGTGCTTTAATGCATGACCCCTCAAACACGGCGAAGAAAAAGATTTCTGCGTATACGAGTAGAAACTCGGTGTGTAGACTGGAACGAATGAGAATTGCACAGGACCAGAAACAACTTTGCCGATTAATGTGTGCATGCAGGTACGAAACATTCATCATAAGAACAACCATCTTTTTTTGCATGGAGATTTTCTTTGTAAATGAAAGTCAATTGTTCATTTCCACTTTCTTGTACAACACTTATAATCAATATTAATAACGGAAATATGTGAACACACACAGACACACACATACACAAACAGTCGCATTTCCGGCACACTTCACACACCCATACGGATATTACTTTTTATAAGGAGCACACCAAGTCGAAACAGTTAAGATCGAAATCGTTAATTTTTCTCTTTGTATTAGTGGTAACTATTGCTGTGTCTCATAAAATATCCTCACCTGTGGTGTTCTTCACAAGTGCATTGTTTCTTTATGGTTTACTCAGAAGTTCAGTCAGTCTTCCGGTATCCGCACGTGTACAGCGAAACCCGGCTCTGGGCTGCCATATTGACACCGTCACGACTGGCACTTTCTTCGAAGAGTAAAGTGACATGTCCATAATGGAAGTGATTTTATAATAGAAATACAGAAAACTATTGTCTCTTTTCTTCATTTCCTGAAGCTTATCTGCTCCATTTGAAATTTATGATATATCTTTGGTTCAGTTTGTTGCAACGGGGCCCGGTCACCATTTTCGCAACAATTTTGTACTTTTATAATATATGTTAGGTAGGATACACGATACCTCATAATAATTTTACAGCCCTAGTTATTTGTAGTTATGCCTCTTCTACGAATTGCTTTGTAGTGTTTTGAGCCAACTAAGTAGTATATTACCGAGTATAATATTCACATACAAAAGTTTGTATTCTTTGGTTTAGTCTATTTTCTTGACTAGCTTCAGTGAATTGCCTCTATACCGAACACTGCGGCCCTGCGTGCTACTCTCGCGCGTGTGTCAAAGTACCGTGATGCTGCGGTTGCTGGTCAGGACTCAGAGAAGAAGTGTGGTGATGCTGATCTCTACGAGACTTGTCCTCCTCTTCGTCTTCCTCTCTGTTGTTGTTGCTGTTGCTGCTACTGTTGCTGTTGGGCATAGTCCGATGGTTCACCATACCGGTCGCAGTGGCACCACAGTCCAGAAGCAGATCGCTAGTCGACAGAAAAGACTGTTTGAGGTTACCACTGAGGCCGACATAGTGCAGATCCTCGTTTCAGACAGACGTCCTGTCCACTGTGGCGTACTGGCAAGCGGACAGGCCCGTCGAGTTGGACCTGGTGGCTGCGGGACTCACTGGAGAATACGTACTGACGAAACTCGAAGAATGTTGCTTTGCCTTCAGACGAAGGCTGGCGATACTGGATGCACCTATTGATGACATTGCACTACAGGGCTCGCTGCTGCGGTGGTGGTACATGCTGTACGGAGTGGCGGGCGGTGCATAGGGACACGCGGGACCTGACACTCCTCCAGTTGGCGTCGTCACTCCGCTCAGACTCGTTGTCATCGAGCCCGGAAGCATCGAACCGGTTCCCGAAGTCATTGACGCCGCAGCGGCCACTGAGGTGGCAGCCGCGTTGAAGCAGTTGACGGAACTTTGATGGTTAGAGGGTACCACGGAGCTGAGTGGGTTTACTGACCAGGGGAAGCTTTTGGTGCCAAGGGGGCTGGGTACTTTAGATGCCCAGTTATTGTAAGGGTAAGGTGAATACAAGGAGTCTGTATCAGTAAAGGGCTGCATCAGACCGTTGAACTGAGTGCCGAAGCCGTTCTTGAAATCGGCCGCGGCTGCCGCGGCAGCGTTCATAGCGTTGCGTTCACGCTTCCTCCACTTGGCGCGTCTGTTCTTGAACCACACCTGCAACATTGAGCAGAACAACGCTCGTTTCAATGATCTTTCTTGTAGCATCGATAGGAGTAACTGCATGGAGCAAAGTTCTCTTGAATAGCTAGAAGTAGCTCATCTGATCAAGAAATACCATACTTTTATGGAAACAAAACGTTCATTACCGTGTTCACAAGAGCCTACAAGTGGCCCGTATTTTGAGCCAAATGAATCCAGTCTACGGCCGATCACGGTAGCCGAGCGGTATAAGGCGTGCACTGTCTTCGCTCGCTCGGAAGCCGGGATCGTGGGTTCGAATCCCACTGAGGGCATGGATGTTTGTGTGCGTTTTTCTGTGTTTGTGTAAAGGTAGAGGCCATGCAACGAGCTGATCACCCGCCCAAGGAGTCCTACTGTATGTCGAAGATCTAGAAAAACCGAAGTGAACGGAGAAGTTCATGGAGGTAGGCCTAGGCCCACTGGGGCTGTAGTGCCAAGGAAAAAAAAATCTAGTCTACGCCCATCCTGCTTCCCCTGTACCTACCCTTCTTCATGCACGCATTCAAATAATTTTACCCCTTAAGTTTTTACGACTAAAATATTCCATATGAGCCGGGATAGCGAAGTCGGTGGAGCGACTGATTAAGGGCTGGACGCCCGAGGAGTCGGAGTTCGACATAGTTTCGGTAGGATCAAGAATGTTCTCTTCTCAACGTCGTTCAGACCGGCTCTGGAACCCACCCATCCTTGTATACAATGGGTACCAAGGGCTCTTTCCTCGGGGATAAAGCTGCGGGGACGTGAAGCTGACCACTCACCTACAACTAGTGCTGAGGTAAAGAAAATATCCACTCCCCATGCGTTTTCATTTCGTGGTGTTTAATTGGTCAAGAACAGGAACAGCTTTACCTTTCTCTTTAAATATTCCATATATTTCTTATATTTAATCCGTGCTACATATTACGGCCATTTGTTCATCCTTGATTTAATCTTTCCAGTCATATGTTAAAACCCAACAGTAAAATGCGGGTAGAATATGTACACTTAAATAAGAATTATACTCATAGAGAGCGAAGCAGAATGCCGGACGCTCTCAAATGGAAGCATTGGGTTATTTTTTGGAAAGGGGGGGGGACTTCATTCCATGTTTATTTTGAAGAAGAGGCAGTGTAAGAATACTTGTGAGGGTTCACGTTCTCAGGGCGAACTCTGTATCGCTAAATATTCCTTACTTCAAGTCACAAAACTTTTCCCATCCCGTGCTGTCCCTTTCACACCCCCACTCACCCCAGCTAGACGCCAACCATCCCTGTCAGTAGCAACACTTACATCTCTATATTCCGCACCACACCCCATCTCTGGCTGCGCGCAACCGAGCGTCTAATTGTACGGCCGACAATGAAGATGAACGAGTCTTCTGATTGGTTCTGGCAGCCCGAGAGTTATGGGTACAGACAGCTTCTACAGTGCTTACAGCAAGAGTGTAATACAGCACAGTGGGACACTGTTCTTTTGCTTGGTTTATGTAAGAATTCGTTCACAACTTAATAACTTATATTACGTCAAATAGAAGGCCGAGTGTAGATTATGAATTTTGAAATATGTGGCTAAATATAGTCATGGCTTATTTTAAGATTATCTTCAGCAACTTACATGGAAACACTCAGCTAAATCAGTTAAAACCTGTCTCCGGATATTCCTCAGTATTAATGAAGGGTGAAGCCACGTGACAGAACCCGGTAAGCACTGTCTCCTTCTTGCCTTCAGCAGCGGTGGCATTCACAAATGTGGTGCCCAGTAGTGGACATTACAAATCTTGGCCGGAGGTTTTAGCATGGGCAGTTCCATAACTGATCCCCAAGAAGGTTGATGCAGGGTTAACTATCTGCATTGTATCTGATACGTATTTGGTTAGCTCCTCGAACTTCCGTGCCCTTTATAAACACTCGACACGAACCATAGCAGAAAACACAACCTCTCTCCATTGTTGGCCTCATATATCGCCAGTTGTATATCAACGGTCATCGCGCGGACCAGAGAAGACACCGCTCCTGTGTTGTGGACATTGCTTAGCAATATGTCTGTGCGTTACAATATTATCAGTTACACCAGGGCTGGTTTAGATGCCCCCTGCGAAATATGTGGGATGCAATACTACATAACAACAAATACTGCAAATCTTTTTAGTCCCTTCATCTTACCAAGCGATAGAAAATACAAATATATTAAAAATATGGTACAATATTTGTTTAGGCTCGTTCCCCTTACAACATTCTAAAGATACAGGTGTCAAAACCTTTATAGCTTCTTCAAAACAAACTTGTCTTTTTTTTTTTGTATAGTGAATCACGTTGCTGTCTGCTATGTTGACTCGCAAAATTGTTTCCAGCCCATTGTTATTACCGGGGGCTACTGTTGCGCTCGTAGGGCGGGTAGGGGGGGTGAGCGAGGAGTTGCGAGTGGATTGTGCAACACGGCTGGAGGCATCCGCCCCTCTGCTTGTTGCGAAACGTCACTAACTCAGCTATTTATATCTCATTATAGAGTGCTTATGAAAATTTCACTTAGCGATAAAGTATTTCGTTTCTTTAAGTTAACCATCGTGGCGAAAATCTGCACTCACAGCTTGTCTAGTGGATTGCTATTTCATTTTGTTATTTCCTGCAGGTTCACTAAATGTTAGTCACCTTTTAGATTCGTCTGTTTCTGTTAACTTTATACTAAATGGACGGATTTTCGCGTACTTTGGTATGCGCAATGTCCTACCTCACTGTTGTTTGCTTCCCTACCATCGAGTAAGCGAGCTATACCGACCGAGCGACCGCCGCTTTTCGGCGAAGTTAGTGCCAATTTTAGGGGATAGAAGGTGTCGCATGGTCAGCGCAAGGAATCCCCACGGCCGTTAATTTCGGTTTTCTAGACCGGAATGTTGTCCCTGTGCTTAACTAATTAAGCACTACTCCATGAAGGTGTGTGGGGGAGTGAATGTATAGATCCACATTTTCTTGCCTTCGGCATTAGCTGGAGGTGACTGGTAAACTTCACGCCCCGGCCGCTATACCCCCGGGGAAAGAGCCCCCGTACCCATTGGATAGGAGGCTGGGTGGGTCCCAGAGCCACGACGTGGAGAAGAGAAAATTCTTGATCCTACCGGGACTCGGACTCCGACCCCTCGGTCACCCAGGCCGCAGCCAGTTGCTATACCGACTGAGCTATCCCCGCTCCTCGCTCAGAAAACTAAGGGTTGCAAACATATTGTTATCAATTCCACATCTGTGTGTTCGCATGTGTAACCGCGGGATCCGTTGTGAGATGCTGGAAACGGTGTCAAGATCGTTCCCACATTCCCATTGTGATTAGAATCAGTTAACGTGCACGTGAGATGTTACTCTGTGCTTACATTTCCTTAGGCATGCAGGATGTGGGGTTCCTATAGCGGTGGTTATGAAGAGTTCTGTCTGTAGTCCGTTGAAAGACAATCGACGTTTCGGAGGAATATGTCGCCTTCATCTTCATGATCGAAGATTAAGCCAAGAAAGGAAATAGCAGCAATCAGCTTAATGCTGGTGCCTCGATTAGCTCACTATTCAGCCCTGAAAATAGAGGCTATATGTTTATCCGAAACGTCTGTCGACTTCAGACTATACGTCATTTTATCCCAGAAGTTAGAATATAGCGCGAAGGAAACAGTAAGCAGGCCCATGCTTGTTTCTTACTTGACTTACTGAAGTGTTCTGAAGACGGAGACGGTATGTTCCTCCGAAACATCGGTTGACCTTGACCAGATTACACATTATTTTATTCTAAAAGATAGAACATTTCAAAATAAGAGAAACTTGTAGTAGTTGATTTGGTTTCGGGTTTAGTTTTGAGAGCAACAGAAAAACAGGAAATTCTCTCTGTGTGGCAGAAAGAAACCAGTGAGGGAAAACGTTACTGAGAACTGCTTGTCTCGCCCTTTTACTGTGTACTTTTCCTGACGGAATGTAAACAGAAACCACTTGCGCTCTGTTGCTAAACTGGACAGCTCCTTAAGAGTGTTCACTGATCTCAGATCAAGAGGAGTGGAAGGAACACATCTCTCAGCTCTGTGAGTGTATCCCAATACACTGAGGGTATCCTGAACTTCACGATAAGTTTGGGAACACACCTTCTCAGATCGGGTTTCTAGAACTCTGTTACATTTGAATTGTTGGTACTCCACTTTCTATCGTTGTTTCTTGGTCTGTAGGTGTCTGTTCCGACTGGCGTAAAAGTGAAGCTATCCCTGTACCAGGCCGTGAAGGCCCATAGGGTTGTGAGACGTTGAGGGTCCCACATTATCTAGACAATCGGCTCAAATATGGCGGAAAGGTTGTCAGCGGACGAGAGAGGAAAACTACGCCAGGGGCAGTGCCTGAAGGTGGCAAGCTAGTGACCACTCAGGGAACTATTTTCTGAATATTATTAGTATTAAACTGAGAACAGAGCAAGAGGTGTGATTCTGCAGGTTTCTTTAACCGTAAATATTAATTGGCGGAGTTTTGAGTTTCGATGTTCTCACCGGTGTATAGTGCTTTGAGTTATGACGTCGTGTAGTCAGCTAAAGGCCTGCCGTCCCTACTGAGGTTTCCATGGTTTTCTCAAGTTCCTCGAATCTCATGTTAGGATATATTTCAAATTTACTTGTTACTACTTCCTTCCATATATTTTTCACTTCATTAGTACCAATTTATTCCACCACTCGACGTTATATAATCAGATATACTGATAACCGCTGTAATAAGCCACAAATTGAATCAATGTGAAGTGTTGTGAGCTTCTGAAGGCCTCAGTGAAGGCTTGTGTGAGGTAAAGTGAGCTTCTGAAGGCCTCAGTGAAGGCTTGTGTGAGGTAAAGTGAGCTTCTGAGAACTAGTGATGGAATGTTTGGATCTGAGGTTCTCACACGTCTGATTATAAAGGGCTGTATCTTCTGGGCTATAACGCCGCTCAGTCCATTGAAAATCAACCAACGATCGCCTCTATCTTCAGGTTTGAAGAAAGAACTAAGCC